TGGCAGGGCGATGTTGTGGACCACCTGTTGGAATCTGTATCTGCAACATGGAAAAGGGAAACACCGCCAAAATTTCAGTCAGTAAAAGTAACATGATCGAGAAAACATCGCACGAAGAATGCCATGCTCCGCATGCGTACCTTGTTAGGTACATGATGCAAGACTAGCTCAGCTAGGAATCGCATTAGGCGTGGAAACATGCGTCAACCTTGCACATGAGCTCGACGATGCACAGAAGGCGGATGCAACGCTTCCCTTCAATGTCCTAGTAGATCGTCTAGTCGCTTTTGCATGTCGTCGATGTCACAGGAGAAATCCATCTACCGCTTGACAGCATCCTCGTGTGTCGTCATGTGCTCGTGGAAGTGGATCGTCTACGTTTGCAAATCATGGATAACCTCACAATGTAAAGAGTTTTTCCTGTTCTCCTTCCCAAACGTCAAGCATATGCTATACTTCAATCTAGGATATCCATTCTTTATCTTTGTTAGCAAACGCACATGAATAAAGGAAGCCAATTCGTAGTACACTTAAGCTTGGTGAGCAGGTGTTCCTGCTCCGCTAGCTCCTTCTTCAAAACCTTGTCACGCGGTGGCTTCTCTTGCTCGTCGGGTCTGGGGATTGGGTATAGCAGCGGAGAAGGTTGCTGGAGGTGCCCACTAGTGCTTAGCATGCTTTGCGTGTAGCCCCCCTTGTGCCATTTCTTTATAGAGAAAAGCCTTAACACGCTTGGGATGCTGTAGCGCACGGTCAATGGAGCGGTGCTAGCAAGTGAGAGAGATGGGCTTCTGCTAGACGATGTAACAACAGGAGCAAGAGCGAGCGGTCACAACGCACGCTGGTGGCTTCCCTGGTTCACTAGCAACGGGTGGCTCCTCTGGCTGGCGGAGCCTTGAGGCGGAGGCACTATAGAGGCATGATCTGAGCGGAGGAAATCTAAACCAGATAGGGGAAGAAGACCTTAAGGAGGTGTTTTGCTAGGTGGGTCATCGGCGTCAGCAGGGTCGACACTGGCAGGGGCGTTCCCTCCTATGGCATCGGAAAACAATGGTTAACAAACAAGACGATGTGGCTGAGCAACAAGGAATGAAGAAGATAATAAATGCATGCATTTTGCCTTGCTGTGCAACAATGTTACCTTACAGGGGTGGCAAAGTACCACCAATTCTGCAAGTGTGGGCGGAAGTCCCACCCCGCGACCTGCCACCTGAAGTGCAATCACACTTGGAACGGGGTCTATACTCGGCCTATTAGAGCACATGTGAGGGGCGTGATTGGTCCTTAACCAAAATCACCCATCGACATGGAGCACATGGGTGGAGGAAGGTAATTGGTCCTTAGGCAGATTAACGAACAATTCTGAGGGTATGCTGGAACAAGTGTTAGGAACAGGATTGGTCCTTAGCGAAATTTGTGAGGAAACAAACAATAGGTGTCTGATTTTCGGCAGTTCACTCACCATTGGCACTACCGACAACGCACCTGTCTCACCGTCATGCATGCAGCCATTCCGCGATGCAAATTTGCCCTCCTCTCATCCCCTCCCCCTTCTCTCTGCTCTGCAGGCCCCACCTATTTCATCACTTTCTTGCGAGGCTGGGAAAACAAGAAAAGGGCACTATTATCACGACAGTTTTTTACCCACGTTTGCTAGTTGCTCCGTTTCTTCTCTCAGCACCACTTTTTTTGCGATCTCTCCCTCTCCATCTCCTATAATGAGTGAATGAGGGGTGGCAGGTGCATGGCTCAAAACTCCGCAACAGCAAGGAGGCCATTGGGCAAGCTAGTGCCCAGCCCGTATCGCAGTCTGCACAGGATTTCCTACTGTGTCCCACAAAGCCGACGACCAAGTGGATTATGGCTGATACAAGTATCGATCATTTCCCACCGTTGCCTCGCAGCTCCAAGCGTGAACCAGCCCGTGCATCTGCACTGCTGCATAGCCCCGTAAACATCCTATGTCCACCGTCTCCACTTATTCGCAGCCTGCGCATGAGGTTGCTCGTTCGTCTCTGCTCGTCCGCAGCCCGACGAGTGATGTTGTCCGCGCGTCTCCGCTCATTCGCAGCCTGGTGCACGATGCTGCTCGCTGCATTCTATCTACTAGTTTCTTGTGTGACTACCATGTCGTGACTGAGTTTCTTTAGCGTCTAATGCTATACCAATGTGATGCAACGTCCATACGTGTACTGAATTAGGAACACTTGTCCAAGATTGGTGCCTCGCCCATTGAAGATTGTTGGCATCATTAAGGGCACCAACAACGGGCTTGTCAAACGCATGCAAATAAAGATACCATATTTGGTATGTTGCCCATTTCGGACATCCGTGACTGCTGATCCGCTTAAGTTAATGTTTGTTGTCCCTCTGCTCTAATCGAACATGACTGTATTGCTAATTCAAGGAGGCATTGGTGGCGAAAGATGCTGCAACAGTCGTCCCCAAGCTCGCCATTGCCAACAAGGTCAACCATACTGTTGCAGAGCTGTTGGGGCACTCGAGAAACTGGCATGCGCAGTTCAAGGAGCTGCATGGCATCTTCACGCAGAAAAGCCTCAAGATGCAGGGTATTTTCAATAGATGCGGGTTGCCTCGTGGTGAGGCTGTCATTCAGCTCGTTGCAGTTCTCCCTCCCATGGTCACTCTCTTGCTTGAGTAAGACGAGGAGATGTACAGCCTTGTTAAAAGCTACAAGTTCCACTTCTACTTGTACTTACTGTATTTGCTGATATACGTACCTTGTTAAATAGCCCCAACTAAGCATTCTTAGCCCGCCAGGACGGTCTAGTTCTTGTCTGTCTAGTTTTGTGGTCTAATTGTGTGTGCCTCTGAGCTCTCCCTTGCCCGTTCCCCCCATAAGTGGACCTGATCGTGGTCCATGGACTGGTTAGGAGGACAGTCGTTGTACATCAAGCAGCGCTACATGGAGAGTGGCGCCAACTTCGGGGGTGGCAACTCCCTGATCCTCTCTGCCTTCATCAAGGCATACCACACAAGCAACGACGCCATGGTTGAAGGGTGGAAGTCCAACGGAGAGGCAATTTTGCACCGCTTCCAAATGCAAGACGACACCGCGAGCGAGGACCACAATGAGTGATGCCATTTATGCATGCAGTTTGCAAAGGCGTCAGTGCAAAACATCCTCGAGCGCCTGGGTGACCTCGAGAAGCTGACTGGCTACAAGCTCTTCACTCGCGGCCGTCGGGGAAGAAGGAGCGAAACAGCTAGTGCATGGAATGGTTGCAACCCTTGTTCGATCACTTCCGCGCAGCTGGCAGGAGAGAGGTATTGCCACGTAAGCTTTGCCGTATGTACTTACTAGTGTTCGACTCCTTGACCCCACTCCCGATTCCCTGTCTGTGTGCATCCTCGTCGCATCTACGTGTAAAGTAACCACCCTACAAACCTGCTCTCACACCTCTACCCCGCCCTTCCCTTTTACTCTTCCTCCACCCGCAGGTGTCGTCTAAAGGAGCTCTCTGTCTTGAACCCCCTGCTGAAGGATGCTCCCTTAGGGGAATGGAAGTTCAATTAAGGCCTCATCACGATGCTGAAAACTGACGACTATCTGAACGCATACCCGGACTAGAATCACAATTTGGGTGGCACTGGCGGTGCTGCCACTGAGCACGGTGAAGTACGAGAGGGGCTTTAGTCGGAAAAACTTATCAAGAGCTGGTGCCGTGGCAGCTTGAGCAATGTGGCGCTAGAAGATCTCATGAGCATGGCACTCCTGGACTACGATCAAGTGTGAGAGGAGGCGATGAAGGTGTTTCAAGTGGAATAGGTGGAAGCATTCTCCAAGAGGAGGAGGAGGAGGAGGAGGAGGAGGAGGAGGAGGAGGAGGAGGAGGAGGAGGAGGAGGAGGAGGAGGAGGAGGAGGAGTAGGAAGCGGAGGTGGGAGAGGAGGAAGAGGATGAGGGACTGGTAGAAGGAGAGGACTTCAGAAGCAGTGGCGATGAAACAAACGAAGATGATGCTTAGCAACAGCAGACTAATGAAGAGCAGAATGCACGGCATCAGTCGAACTGATGTTCAAAATGACGTTATTGCATAAATGCCTTGTATTATGGCACATGATATGTTGCATGCTCTGCTGGTTAAAACAATGAAGTCTGACCCACAATTATGAAAGTCCTGAAAGGTAAGCCTGATTCATCAAACATGAAATCTTCTTTTGTTTGACAAAGCATGCTACGTCCAAAAACCGACCTGAAAAACATGGGTTCTCACAAGGGGGACCCTGAGCAGTCAGTCCCCCTAAACCAATATGAGGCCGAGTGTTATAAGCATTCATTAATGCTAAAACTCCTAACTAAACGTTCTAGATGTTTAATCGGAACTTTAGGAAACGCGAAGCACCTCACTGAACCGTACTGAAGGGAACGCTATGGCCCGACCGAAGTGTTGTCCGAACCTGCTGGTAAAACCCAGCAGGTATTCCCATTCGAGTACACGCTCTGCCCGAGAAGTTCGGCACCTACTTCGTGAAACTTGGCCCAATCCTGCTTCTCCAGAGGGTCAGCCACCTTGGCTCTTCATGCCTGGCAATCGAGGCTCGGTCCGTGCCGAGCCTCTTCATTTTTCCCCCCAAAGCAATACATGTTATGACCAAGCATCTCTATTTTCCCACCATTTTCTTGCGCTACCATTTCGTCTGGCATCGGCCGAACCGAACCGAAACCTGACACGAGGTAGTGAAGGCAGAAGCAGAGGTGGGATTGATGGGATTGATGGTACACCATCGGTTGAAGCGCCCAGAGAAGCGCCCCTCCAGCCAGAATGAAGTAGGAATCTCCCTCCGTTTGTGCGGGGTAGTAAACGTTGTCCAGTGTGGTGTGGTGCTTTTTGGTGCTTTGTGGTGCGTTGTCATGCGTTATTTCAACGTTTTGATGTGGTATGATGTGGTGTTTCATGTAAAGCCGTTCCTGTGGAGTGAACAGAGGATGAGGATATCTAACACGCACGTGCGTGCGCCAGCGCAGCAACCTGCTAATCATTCGCACACCACTAGGCGTGTTCTACGCTAGGCACTGGGGTCAAGGATACTGCTACGTGTACGTAATGATAGCCATTACCTTTTTATCTGGCTGTCCGTCGACTTGGACTGATCATGACATCGTCCTTAGCTCACCATCTGTACCGCATACCTAACGACAGTAGTTCTATTTAGATACAGTATTTATGTTGTAACCGCGCCGCCGGTGGCTTTTCGTGCAAGAAGCATGTCAAGCAGGTTGTTCTCGCAGAAGGTTGCTTAGCGCTTACCGCGGACGTTTAACGCGGACGCTCACTACAAATATGTCGTCGCCTCTCGTTTCTTGTTCCGCTCTATGACCCGATATAAGCTTGTCCATGTCAAAAAGGACTACTCCAACCGCACCCTAATCGGTCCAATCAGGTCGCGCTTAGCCTATCGCAACGCGCCAGGTGGAGTCGTAAGTGCCGGAAACCGAGCCAGCACTTAACGGGACATCATGTCGTGGTCCAGATCCAGTCATAGATAGGTTCGTCATCCGCTCCCGTCACCGCGGCTTTCCGTTTCCTGTTGCCAGCGCCATGGCTTTTGTAGCTTAGACATCCTTCCCACGCGATTAGCGGCGGGTTTCCGGCGGCTGGAACGTTGAGTAGCGGCGGACATCGCGGACACGGTTTACGATTAGCTGGACTCGGTTGACTCTGTTGGCTCGGTTGACTCGGTTGACTCGGTTAAGTTAGGTTCGCTCCCACCAAACTGCACCAGGAAGACGCTCGACTAGGTCATACCTTGAAAGGTTTTTGGTAGAGTCGCACGGGAAGGAATCGCACGGGGGAAGGAGTCGCATGGTGGTTTTTATTCCGGCGGGGGCGATGGAGGAGGAGGCTGCGCGAAGTCGCACGAGCATTGGCGTGCATGCGATCTGTCCGCGACGAACGTCGCACAAAGCACGGCGTCGTCGCCACGGTGTCGCGCGGACAAGGGGAGCGACGGAAGCGACGGAAGCGACGGGTGCGAGAGGAGCGACGGCAGGGACAGGAGGCACTGAGGTGTATCGGATGCGTGGGCTTCTGCCCTCCAACGAAACCGCTGTGGCCCTTCTTACGCTGCTGCTCTCGGTCATGACCCTATCGGCGCGCTTTGCGCTTGTGGCCGCCGCACCGCCTTCCGCCACGCAAAGTACACTTTTCTCCAGCAACCAACTCCCCCCCTCCCTCCTCCCCCATTCCCCTCCCTCACTCCCCTCCCCCCTCTCCCCCTTTCCCCCCCCTCCTTCCATCCCTTTGCCCCTCGTTCTCTCGAAACGCATCAAGTACTTGGTTTTCTCTCTTGACCTGTGTCCGTCTCTTCTGCCCCGCCCGCCTCCGTTTATAGCCAATTAAGTCCTTTAACCCTTGTTTGCCCTCGAATTTGCCCCCCCAACTCTATCTCCCCACCCCTGCCGTCTGTGCCCGTGCCCGTGTCTCTGCCTCTGCCTCTGCCTCTGCCTCTGCCTCTGCCTCTGCCTCTGCCTCTGCCCGTGCAGTGCCGGCGTTACTGGAGCTGAAGACGAGTCTGGACCCCACGGGGCAGGTGCTGACGTCATGGAGCAGCGAGGATGACTGCGGGGCATGGCTGGGCGTGTCTTGTGACCCGTCCACGTGGATGGTCGTCAGCATGTGAGTGCCGACGGAGCCGAGTTAAAGTGGCACAACAAGCGATGGTCGGTGTGAGCATGCGATGCGAGTCCCTTAGGGGCCGACTTAACGCCCCATCGCAGCCCATGGACGTGAGCATGTGGGTGGATGAAAGGGCGGATGAATGGATGGATGGATGGATGGATGGATGGATGGATAGATGGATGGATGGATGGATGGATGGATGGATGGATGGATGGATGGATGGATGGATGGATGGATGGATGGATG